ATAGGTTACTAAGATTTTTTTACTTGGTATTCATTTACAGGTTTTTTTTTGTTCTCTAGTATCTCTTCCAATTCTTTTATCATTGGAGTATCTGTAAATACTGCCGTTTTCCAGTTTTTCGTCCATATTTTTTCGTTTCTTTCATGATATTTTCAGGAGGAGTTACATTTACGGAAGTCGCTTATTCTGTGGTGATATTACTTGTTGACAAGCCCAACCAGTTACAGGTCATGCCTTGTGTTTCATCTATATTAGCATTGCTGGTAGAAACACATGATTTCAATGTCATCATTTCAACATATGTTGGCGTTGACGCCAGGAAGACATCATCCTTGAATATATGACGGCTGAGAGGAAAGATTCCTGTAGACTTAAAACAGATGTACAATTTTGGGTGGTAAATGTTAATGAAAAGGATCTACCAAGCAGAGACCCAGTTTCATAGATCGTTATTACTCGCTTTCCAGGATTTTGTATCCATATGATACACGAGATCCATAGAGAATTGATCTAATACGGGCATGGTTGTCATAGTAGATGAAATGTTTTAACCATTCCACAAAAATATCGGATGTAATCCATGCTGTTGGTGCTGCAAAACCTACGGTCCTGGAGGAGCTCCATTTGTCCAGTGCTGTTTGAAATTAACTCGACTGAACCGATTCACGTGAAATTTAGTGAGTTGATGGGAAAGTGCTCAAATAACAAAAGTGATATAACGCAGATGTGTGCTTCCGCTCCAGTGGTGGTTGCCACCCCTTCTAGCGGGTGGAAATTCTTTTGCTCAAAATGATCACGGGATTGATAGAGGATTCAATTCTAAGCAACTTTTTTTCTATAGGATCTTTTCAGAAAGTCAATACGTTTTGAGCTATTTATGGTTGAAATTGACATATCTAGGGATCTACTGGACTAAATTAGCTTTCTTTTTAAAACGGGGTGCAACGTTCAAATAACATTTATCGTATTTCCATTGCAAAATTTTCCAAAACAAAGGAGCTAATGACTATGGGATATACAACTCTTTTTTAAGTCATCTTTGTTGTTATTTTTTTTATTTATTAATTTAAAATATAATTATATTACATAAATATTATTTACAAACAATTTTGTCCATATAATCTTATCAAATTAGAACAAATCAGTTTTTTAGTATTAAAAAAATTATTTTTTAGAACAAAAAAATCGTATAAGTATTATAATATTATATTATGTATAAGAAATTATAACTTCTTAAATATCTTATATGCGGTTTCGATACCGTATATCTATATGTAGCGGTGGTTGAACTCTGCGCAGAGCGAAATTTACAACTTTTGCTCACAATGAGCCAATTAACCTAAAAAATTTACGTTTACGGTGAAAAGATTTAAGTTTACAGTAACTATGTTCTAAAAAAATTTACTTAAACCATTTCTGACTATCATTTTCTGTTTTGTTTTGATTGATGAAAGATTATAAATTTAAACTTTAAGAACTTATAATTTCTTATAATATATACGATTTGTTGTTATAAAAATAATTTTTTTAATACTAAATTACTAATCTAAGTTCACTACCCATGAGCAGGGCAGGAAAAATACTGTCTATAGGGCCAGACAAAAGTTCAGTAAAAGGCCTTTAGGGGTTATGTCCACGCCTCAGTTAAAATGAGTGACATTCAAATAAACTAACGTTTAACAATTCTTTGAGTAGATAGAAGCACGTACATCATATTCTAATATTTTAATTTTCCCAAATTTTAATTTGAAGCAAGAACTTATGTAATCTATGTATTATGTAAAAACCAGTATAATCCCCCAGTAAAGACATTTTGAGCCTTGTTTGACTTTCAACCATGATCATATAACGTCACGGTGTTAAGGGTAAAAATGGTATAATTGTATTTTTAAGACACTGTGATATTATAGTCACGATTGAAGGTCAAACGAGGACAACATATTTACTGGGAAGGGCCGCCTTGCTAAAAAAAAGTATGTGATTCGTACTACATGGTTACCACATAACCACAAAACTTGTTTTCAATATTTTGCACATTTTTCTTAAATTCGACAAACGCGTATCTGTAGCGATTTAATACATCACTACTGCCTTCTATTAAATGAAACGTGAACTTAATTTCCCATCTATTAAGTGACAACCTGAACTAATTTCTTACTACCTAAATGACAACTTGCTACTGTTGTCAACAAAATCCCTAGTTTGCAGATTTTAATTGTAATTTTATCTTTAGATACCGTTAATTTAAAAATTACGGCAGTATGGATAATGAACGTTTGCTTAAAATAAAGCTTTTTTGGTAGTTAATCATTTAACGTAGTTATTTTGGACATCAGTTCAAACATTATTACACAATACCAAAATTTAATCAGGCTACCAAGCAAGTTATGACATGGATTCATTTAAGTAATTATTTAATATTCGATAATAATTCGAAACAAAGATGCCTACAAAAACATCTACAAATAATAAAAATCAACAATACCATAATACAATACCATTTTTATCGCTTGAAGATGTTTTCGTTCCTATTTTTGCCCGAATTTTGTCCACCGAAAAAAATCGGCAAATAAAATTCGGCCAGAATACCAATTAAAACATTTGCAAGTTATAAAAAATGGCCAATTATTGTCGATTTTTATCATTTGCAGATTTTCTCATTGGTATTTTTGGCCAAAACTTGGCTGAAACAATCGGCCGATAAAAAATGCCCAGTGAGAGCTCATTATTAAAACAATAAAACATTTTGTCTCAAAAAATTTATTGAAAATAAGAATACACATTTGTTACAATTAATGAAAATAGACTAATTTTTTTCAAAGAAATGCGAAATTTTTAGTTGCTTTTGAGAATTTAACTTCTCGGTAATGACAAAGGATTCTTAGTCATCCAAGCTCTTGCGCTGCTCAAATATTCTACTAGTTTTGACTTGACGTTCTTAAAACAACGCGGATTAGCCGACTTGCTAATCATCAGTAGAGGCAGTCTTTCCGATCCGTCCATGTTTGTACCAATTAGGAGAGTTACTTTTTCTTTACTTAGTTTTCCTCCGTGACATTTTTCTTTTTTAAATGCCAGCGTTTTGTCAGGAGTGCATTTAAAAAAGATACCCGTCTCGTCAACATTAAAGATATCTCTATTTCATCTATACCCTGAATCATCTCCAAATTTGTTTTCCATTGGTTGCCTTCTTGCTGATTAACGGTCCCACTTTCTCCACAAATGGATTTGAAAGAAATTTTGTTGCGTTCTTTGAAGCCGTCGAAGCTGTACTCTCCTTAAAATTGTTTTCTCCCCATTTCGATAGCAAATTGTTCAGCTTTGCGTCTTATAAGGGGAGCACTCACGGGAATCTTCCTTCTTATCCCTAGCTTGTTTGAACCATTTTAACACACAACTGTCTAAATTTGGATTTTCTGGCTACCTTAGCCTTTTTCGATCTTTACCGCACTCACTTTCACTGTTGTTGTCACATTTTTTCTTTATTCTTCAAGTAGGTGAATAATGTGTTAGGAGGAATTTTAAACTCGGATTTTTTCTTCGTCCCCTTTTCTTGCCGCTATTTTTTTCGATAACATCAAAATTTTTTATGTGTTTATTGGTTTAAAGTCTAATAACTCTGATTGTAATCTTTCATGTATTACAAAGCCACATCCTCTTTCATGTCGAGTTTCATGTCCAGACCACAGTATTAATGACTTCTCCATGTGTATTGTTCCAGACCCTGTCCATCTCATCTCCTGAATGGCAACTACATCATATTTCAAGTTTTTTAGTTGTTTTATCGCTGTCGTGGCAATTCCAGGTCTGTACCAACTTAGTACATTCCATGTTCCTAATAGAATATCCTTTGTCCGTAGCTTTCGTCGTTTGTTTTTATAATCTGTCCTATTCGTAGCAATATTTTTTTACTTTTATGGGTCGCTGGCCCATAGCAAAACTTCCTTTTCGAAGGACCATGTTCTTCCTTCCTCGTTTGCCCTGACCCTGCCTTCCATTGGGGTTGGTTAACCAATCTCCAACAAGGTTGCTCAGGTTTCCGGGATCCACCCGTGTGGTCAAGACCACACTTCGTGGAGGTGAGGATAGGAATTTAGTAGGAGAGGCTAGAGATGCTAACTGGAAACAGCATCTTATAATGCGCATCACTATTCCTTTGAACCCCGTACATAAATAATAGTATCACAATTTGTGATACTGTTTATGCTAATAATTTTTTGTTTTTATTATAATTTAATTTTCCTGTGTTATCACACTCATTAATTTACAGTTATTAATTTATGCCCCACCTCTCCAATCATTATCTAAAGTAATATGGAGCAATGGCCCTTAGTAAGTTGTTAATAAGTGCAATAAGTCCAAGTGCAATAATATTCCTATGAGTATCCATAAACTGTCATACTTATTAAGCATGACCTCTTTCATTCATGAATCTTGTAGGGTACAAACTATACGGTGATGGTGTATTGATGGTGACGACAAATAATGGTAGTGGCTTGGCATATATCATCAGAGTTTTTTCTTATGATAAAATTTCGTTAGTAATTCAAATAGTTGATTTACTTTTATCAATATATTAGGGCAACATCATCACAAATGTTTACATTAAGTAGCGTTATGGGCCTATAGTTTGTCAGATCTTTTCTTTTCTATGATATTGGCTCAGACCGGGTTAATTTAATTTCGAATTTCTTCTTTTATAATGCGGATATCCCGTGAAGAAATAAATAAAAATAATAAAAATACTTTGACGATCAAAGGATCTGTGTTATGTCTGCACCCATCTCTAATACAGACCGCGCCCTTATTCTGTGTGACCGATATTGGATATCGATCACGTTAGACAAGCTGCCTTGCGCATCCGCCCGCTTTTACATCTTCATTCTCATTCACCTGCGATATTCATCTATTCATCGCTTTTCTCGCAGCATCAATTAAAAAATAAACACATAAAAATTAAACCGATATGCGAGTTATTTTCTGTACGTTCTTGTCAACAGCACGCTAACGGACACAATCGAGCTACCTTCGTAGCATCCCCAGATGAGGATATGGTGGACATTCAAACATCTGGATCCGTGGGGGGCGGAGACCTACATCGCACTACAAGATTGGGGGACGACGACGATGACGGAGTATCGCACTGTAAGTAATCTTTAATTATTGCTTTTTTTTAATATATTACTCAAAACTGAATTTTTAAATTATATGCACAAATATTTTGATTTAAAAACTTATGCAGACCATAATATACAGGGTGTTTCAAAAAGGCATGTCATAAATGAAATCGCGCATTCCGGGGACAAAAGAAAATTGATTAAATCCAACTTACCTAAGTATAAAAGTGTACACAAAAAAACTTACAGTCCTTTGAAGTTACAAAATAAAAATTGTTTTTTTGCATTATTTCCTAAGCTACTTGACATTTTGTAATAAAAATGGACATGTTACTTTCTTGTTTTAAAAGCATTTTTCCTACAAAAGAAACAACAAAATCTAAGCTCACAGAAAAATTTTAAGGGGGTGTGCAGTAGGGAGCATCGAAAAAATAAAAGTTGGAAATGTTGTATCTAATAGTGTGAAAAAGTTGCTAGTGTTATTTTTTAGCATATTAGTATTTTTATTTTTTTTTCTAAAATAATTTTCTGCCCCCCCCCAACGACCTTAAACTTTATTAAATATCTGCTTTTTATGGAAATTTGAATATATTATATTTGGATTAAAATATGTGCTTACTCGTTCTAATATCAATTAAATAAAACTTAAAATGTTGTAAATTACACATTTAAACGATATTTAAAATTTCATTTGTTTATTAAGTGTCCTCAACCCCATTGAAAATTACCGCAAAACGTCTATTTCTACTAATATCTGCTATTCGAAAATTCATAATATGTACTACCAATGAAACAAAATCGGCAACCACGCATATCGTATAGATCCTGATATTCTAATATCATTGGTCCGAGACACTCCGAGATGCAACGGTTTAATGCCATTGACTCTTGGCTAAAATCATTCGAGTAATAATCGTTAAAATTCCTTAAAACGGGACCCAAGACTACCCGAGTGCCTGATTCCCTTATCAGTAAGTGTCTAGCATCTGTGTCACACAGTCCGTGAGTGTAATTTTCACTTGTTTGGTGCGGTGCATTACTTTGCTGTTATTGATGTTTATAGACTAAAGATTTTTTAAAATGGATAAGCCAGGAACGTCGGGAATAAAAACAAGATGTGCTGTGGACTGCGCCATTTTTGGACAACCATAAAATATTCCTGAAAATGTGTTACCGACGTTTGAACAGGTGATGAAATTTTGTGCTTGGAAGAGGCTGAACAAAAAACTTACCAAGAAAGAGCCAGCGTTTTCCGTTATTGCCGAGGAGGTTGCCATGAAATTGGAGGAAATATGGAGAAAGGCTACAATTCCAATAGTTTCACGTACAAGAATAATTTAGCTTTTAAAATCCTACCACGACAAATACACCAAGCTTATGAAACCATTTAAGAGCAAGAAAAACAGTAAGTCTTACCAAAATAAAATTCTATGCTTTCAGGAGAAAAGTAAAACTATTTTGGTAAGCAGTTATTGCAATGCGACCAACTGCCAATCGTTGCGTTCAAACCAATTAAAGGTAATTTACCCACGATTCCCGAAAGTATTTTGAAGGAGCTTCGTACAGATCAAAAGTATTTGTATGAAATGTACCACGTTGTATCCAGTGGCCAGTGTACTACCAGTGTTACAGATCGAAAACCCAGACCCCTCGCACATTCAAGTTGGGTAACAACTGCCAATCGCATTCTTCGGCTCTATGTATCGAGTATCGTGCCACCGGTGAACTTAATCTCACTCACAGAATATATTATGAAGGTGTACGCTCCAATGTGGTTCAGCATAAAATCCCAACCGACATGTAAATATGGTGCAAAACATCTTTTTAAAACCATTCAATTATCTCGGTACTTAAATAGCGAATTGAGGGATGTAGTCGACGTTGTAATTCAACGAGCTGCATATTTCGGTCATTGTGAAAATATACTTTTAAGCATGATATCGGATGAACGACTCCATATTCGGGAACTTGGATTACGCCGCATCTTAAAAGCAAGGTTTCCAGCGACAAAATCAAAAAACGTGAGAGTCTTCAAAATTTCTCCTATAAATTTTGATGCGAACGACTACTTTGAGTTAATTAATTGGCAGAGTGTAACCTTACGGAACCACCTATCCTCTCTAGAGTTTCGAATGACAATCTGCGAGATTTTATTAAGAATAGGGACTTAGACCCTTTTAATATTGAGAAATATCACTGCCACACACAATGTGTAGAACTATGTGTCAAGCTTGTGACAGAAGCTTCTCAAGCAGTTTGTGGAGCGGACTCGAGGGATGGATTTATAAAAACGCGAGTGGATTCCAGAAAAACTGCCTCACTTTAACACTAAATCAGAATACATCTTTAAATAGAATTGTTTTACCATATTTTTGTAATACTTCTATAATACACCACTTTAAATTTATAGTTTTTTTTATTTTTATTTCAGTATTAAAAAAACGTTGGTGACATCACAGAGACAGAAGAAAAAGTTGGGCTAATTTGTTATAAAAAAATGTTGGAGAATATTTTCTTAACTTAAATTTTTAATTGATTTGTAGAACCAGAACATATTTTAAACCGAATTTATTAATTTAACTTTTATAAGGTATTACCTTTCCGTTACAAAGAAAAATGCGTCTGTTAATGTATTTTTTCTAATTTTGAGTGCCGAGGGGGGCAGAAAATATATTTTTAGTTCAACGCAATTTTACTAAAATATTAAATAGTGTGTTATTTAGGCAACTTTTGTGAGGTATTCCATTTTCGTCTCAAAATAAAAATTATTTTGTCTGTTAAGATTTTTTCAAAATTTTTAATTGTCTTGGGGGGGGGGGGCAGAAGATATTTTTCAATTTCGACCAGATTTTACCAAATTACTTACCAGTTGATTGGGCAACTTTTGTGAGGTATTACTTTTCCATTGCAAAAAAAAAATTTTTTTTTTCGCCTGTTTCGATGCACCGTAGTGTGCAGCCCTAAATCCCCCAAAACTTTTAAGTACGTTCAAATCAAAAGTTCAAATTCACTTTTTTCAAAAAACAGTTTTTATTGAGTTACGGCCCTTTTCATTAACCTTTAAAAATTACGTGCAACTAGATAAATGGCTTAAATCAATTAACAAGTACAAAAAATGTCTATAGCCTCTATAAATATGATATTACAATAAATGTTCAAAATGACTCCCATTTTCTTCAATGCACATTCGGTATCGTTTTAATAAAGAAAACCGAATGCGATGAAAAATCATATTTTTCTGAGGAAATTGATTTGCAGCTTCAATTATTATAATCCTCAATTGTTGTTAGTCCTCTATTGTCAATTTCTCTTTCATAAACTCCCAAAAGCAAAAGTCCATGAGGTTAAGACCTGGACTTCTGGGTGGCCAAGAATTAGGTGCGTCACGACCCCTTCCAATCCACTGACCAGGATACTGCCTGCAAAGGTATTCCCGCACTTCATTACTGTAATGCGGTGGAGCGCCATCTTGTAGAAACCACATATTTTACCTTATTGAAATATTCACTTCCAAATACGTTTTTGTTCTTGTAAATCGTTTGCCAAGAACTGCAAATAATTATCACCATTTAAATTGTTGGGAAGAAATACTGGGCCTATTAGATTGTTATCCACAATTCTTGCCCAAACATTAACTTTGAAAGTCCTTTGGTGATAAGTCGTTTATTTGGCGTAAGGATTTTCGTCTGCCAAAATGTGCTCGTTATGATGGTTTGTTATTCCATTTCTACTCAAGGTAGATCCCACTCTTACAGTGGTATACACATGTCCCTAGGGGTAGGGTTGATCGCCTCGCGTGATTGTGTGTGTGCTACTCAAGGTAGCCTTGAGGTGTGTGTGCTACTCAAGGTAACTTTGAAAGTCCTTTGGTGATAAGTCGTTTATTTGGCGTAAGGATTTTCGTCTGCCAAAATGTGCTCGTTATGATGGTTTGTTATTCCATTTCTACTCAAGGCAGATCCCACTCTTACAGTGGTATACACATGTCCCTAGGGGTAGGGTTGATCGCCTCGCGTGATTGTGTGTGTGCTACTCAAGGTAGCCTTGTCGGTAAACAAAATATTTCTAATAAAATTAAAATTTCGAGTGTTTTCCATTAACAACCAATGTTAATAAATAGTGTAAGTTTTGAGAATTTCACGTTTTTATTATAAAGTTTAAAACAATAGCGATACACAAATATATTTTTAAATTGTCTTTGCTCTTCGAAATCTTGTAGTGGACTGTGTCTTTTCTCGGTGAGTGGGGGGAGCAACCCGCACCCCTCGCCCATCGTCTGGAATTCGGAACAGGTCCGGTTTGGCACTAACAACCAATCGCAAAATCCAATCCTTTTAGGATACTCTTCAACCAATAACTCTTAAACCGTTGTTAAGTGATAGGGTCTAAGCAGCTGATCCTTCAAACGTCTCCAAACCCTTACGTGAAGAACATTTCGTTGAGCTGCTTTTACCCTTGTACTTGTTCCAGGGACTTCTTCAATGATTTCTAAAATGTCTTATCAGTTCCATGCATTATTCGTCATCATCATCTTTGGCTCTACAACCCTGGGTGGGTCTTGGCCTGTTCAAGAATTAGTCTCCATTCCCCCCTATCTTTTGCCCTGGCTTTCCAATTTCTGACTCCTAGATTCCTCAAGTTATTTTCGACTTGAGTTTTAAATCTAGATTTTGGCCTGCCTGTCTTCCTGGTTCCTACTGGCTCTTGATAGAATATCTGTCTTTGGGGTCTCCAGTGTCCATTCTTTCAAGGTGTCCTTAGTCTATTAATTTTAATAGACCTGACAATGTTGCATTTTTTATAGCATTGATACAACTCAAAATTGTAGCGCCTGCGCCATGTCCCACTTTCTTGTGCTCCTCCGTATATGTGTCTTAAGTATTTCAAAGCGGCCTAACAGTTCTTCGTCGCTTTTTACCATAGTAAATGTCTCTGACGCGTATGTCAGGACAGGTTTAATAAGAGTTTCATATATTAGTATCTTGGTTTTTCTGCCAACTATGTGTGATGTTTAGAACTGCTTTAGTC